TGGATCTTTGGATGGAGATTTGATTAGAGGGGCATGAGGAAGGCGCATTAGCATGCTTGAAATGCGTTACAAACCATGGTCAGTCTGGGGATGGAGATTTGATTATAGTTTTCGTTCTCATTTGAATACGGAAAAAGTCGATGCAGCGATGCCATATGTAATTGACGGATTATTAAAATACATTTTATTTTAATGTGTTCAACATAGATTTTATTGAGTGTATCTAATGATTTCTCATGGAGTCATGGTCTAATAGCTTTAAGACATTCGTTCATGCATGGATATTCGTATCTGTTTTTGCATTACATTATTTATTTCAATTTTTTATATTTTGGCTGACTAGTGATTTTATGATCGGGTTTTGATGTGATAATTTATCTTGTTCGATGATACGAACAAAAAAGTTGAGGCTTGAGATTTTGTTGGTACTCTAATATGCTTTATGATGTCCCATAAAAATGTTCTCATTGATACTCCAGAGGAATTTCGTGACCACACATAGGATGGTACACATGTGTCGTTACATAGGGGCTAAGGTGGGCCCAGGTTCACCCTCATATAAAAAAAAACCAAATACTGTATATTACTCATGAGAATTATTGAAATAGAAGCCCTCCGTGTTTGACCCAATTCCCCAGCATTAGAGACAAATCCAATCATTCCTTGAATATAATTCATTTTTGTCTGCTACTAAGGACCCCTGAACCCTAATTTCTCTCTCTCTCTTTCTCATAATTTAATGCAAACATTGTTCTTGATCCTTATAATGTATGTATATACTCTCCCTCTGTCTCACTCTAGATTGAAACTGCAGAATGGCAAAATTAGGACTTCTTGCTATTCCAATCGGTCTGGATCTCTTAGGCGTTCCGTAAAGATCCCTAGTTCTACATCTAAATCATGGGAGTTGACTTTTATTATGTTGACAGTATCGGATGGTGGCAGAGCCAATTTTACTTGTATCTCAGCCCAACAGGTGAATCGTGTAAACTGTCTGGTCTACGTACATTTTGGAAAACTATGATCAGTTTGTCACATAATTTTTTTTATCCATCTGTATCATGCATAGCACATTCTTGAATCTGATTGTATTACTCTTCTGCTAAAAAGATGCCTTATGATAACTTTGTATTGTGCAAATCTGAAAATGATTTGAGGATTTTGTTGGAAACCTAACTTCAAAAGATCCTCTATTTTCTGGCAGATGAAGAGTGATTGAGGACTCGTAGCGTTAGGTTGAATAAGGCAATATAATATTATATATATGCACACACACATCAGGATCCACCTAATACGGGTGTTGTGACTGGCATATGGATTTTTTATAAATATTGGAAGGGGACTGATGTTGATTTATGAAGGCTAATAATGGATAATAGGCAAAGACAGGAGAGCCTTCTCTCTTCCCGTCTTATAAAGGATAGATGCATTGAAAAAACCCAGTATATATATAAATGAACTAATGTAGGAGATGGAGAGAAAAATCTCTATTGCAACCAGATCATTCCAAAATGTGTATTGCTCATCAATGAAGATGGAACAATATAACCCCTAATATTTACATATATAACCCTATAACCATGTAGAAAATATAAAAGTTACCAAGGTATATATATATATATATATGTATATATATATATCAAATAGAGTTGACCGGATCATGTTCTTGATGTAATATTTTTTTAGGGTATTTCGCTGATACTTTTTGATTGAAGTTGGTTTCATGTAAAGAACTGAATTTATTGATGTTGAAAATGACATCACTGTGAATCTGTGATTATCGACGTTGCCTTTTCTTCAAATAATTTGTTTCTTTATAATCTATAAATGTTGAGCTGATCATGAGACTTATAACTTTGACCAATTTTGTAGCCTGGGTTGAAGGATGAAGATGATACTCCTCGTAACAATCTAAAGAAAGCTCTCGACAGTGCTCCTCCTTCCAGAGACTTTAGAGGAGTTCTTAAGGAAATTGTACGGAACAAATATTTAGAGGTTGCCCAGGTCCGTTCTCCTTGATTCAACAGGAACAGTTGGGCCTACGGGTGTAAACAAGTCGAGCTGAATGGAGTAGCAGGTTATTCGAGCTCGGTTCGAAAAAATTAATATCAGAGAGCTCGATTAACTTTTTCAAAGTCGAGCTCGAATAGTTTTTCAACTGTGGAGCTTGAGCTTGATGCTAGTTTATGAGCTTGAACTCGAGACTAATTAACTCGTTTATTTGCCTCAAGCTCGATGATTTTTATATTTTGATTATATAATTTGCATACATATAAATGTGTTTGGGTCGAAAAAGTGTATGCTCAAATAGCTTGGCTCGGCTCGAATCGACTCAACTCGTAAAGCTTAATCAAGCTTTCGAATGGGTCGAGTCGAACACTGGTGTTATTGAGCTCGACTCATTAAGCGAGCTTTGTTTTGCATTCAAGATTGACTCGAGCTCGAGAATAAGCTTGGGCTTGAGTAGCTCGTAAACTCGACTTGTTTACATCCCTAGTTGGGCCAAAGGCCATTGGTCATTCTCCTTGATTCCATTGTTGTAAGTTCTCCCCTGCTAATAAGGACCTTTTTGCAGATGAAGGAGAACAATTCGATATTTTCACTAAAGAAAGCTCTCGACAATGCTCCTCCTTCCAGAGACTTTAGAGGAGCTCTTAAGGTCTCATATATACGAACAGGATCACCTGGTTTAATTGCTGAAGTGAAAAAGGCTTCACCTAGTAGAGGAGTTTTAAGGGAAGATTTTCATGCTGTAAGTTGCCTCTTCAGTTTAATTCTTTAAGATCTTCATAAATCAATACATGATATGATGGTGGTATATATTTTGACCCATAAAATCATATAGTATAGTATATTTTCAGGCATATTGATTTATCGGTTTTGTTGCTAATTGAAACATACGTGTGTACATTATACACAGACGATAGATTGCCACGCACTTTGATTTACACAAGAACTACTAGCACAGCTTCAAAATTACCTTAACTGAGTTCAAAATTCTTGCTTGAACTTGCTGGATTACTGCTTCAACCTGCATATTAGTAGCTGAATCCAACTTGAATTTGCCTCTTCTTGAAATTCACACAGATTTCTCACTTTTTTTTCACTTTCTCTCGCTCTCTGCTTGTCTCTCCGTACTCTTTGCACAGTAGAAGCAAGAATGTGAGTTCCAGGCTCTCATTTGTCTTCATAGGCATCAATAGAGCTAGTTCCTAGTCCAACTCTTTTTAATTTTTCTATTGTGATTAAATCATGGGCCATAATTTAAAATCTTCATCCAAAATCAAATCAAATGAATTACTTTAATGTGGCCGAAAATATTATTAATTTATTACACCCTATACAATCCCCGATATGTACCCAAAAATGAAATATGGGCAGGTGTTAAAATTAAAATACACACACAGACACCCTTGATTTGATTTCTTAAAGAAGAGAAATGCCTTGAAGACACATGCATACTCATGATTGAGTCTCACTGTCTCGGGGATTCATTTGACAGGAGGAAAAAATCAAACCATTTGGTTTGAATGTTTTTTCTAAGACTGTAGATCCACGGGAAAAGAGAATATATTAGAAAAAGACTCTAGCAAACTGTGGAAACCAACCAGAAATAGATTTACTAGAAAGAAAACAGTTAAGTCACTCTTTAAGAGAAGTATTGAAACAGGTTTGCAGAATCAATATTAAAAGAAACCACAATCCCAGAACTTAATAAGTAAATGAATCACAAGAAGAAATAACTAACTTGAGAGAGAATAAATGATTTAGAAAAAATCCAATTAGTGACTTGGTTAGCAGAAACCATGCAATCAGTTAATGTATATGTATATATGTATATATGTGTATGTATATATGTTCATATGTATGTTGACAAACAGTTGAGTTCTTAAAGAAAAACACATTGAAGACACATGTGCATGTGAAGTCTCATGCACATCCATGTGAAGAAGATAAATTCAAAAGGGAACACATGCAAAACCATGTGAAGTCATAAACAAATACTCAATGTTTAGATGAAGAGTCAGAAGGTAAAGGAGCTCGTGGAAATCGTATAGCAAACTCGATTATCGTTAAGCAGTATTACAAAGGAATGGTTTGAATTAAAAAATTGTCCTTCAAGCTTGATATTATGTGATTTTAGTTTATTTGGTTATAAATGATATTTTGGTTTAATGTTAGTTTAATACTATATTATAAAGGGAAAATGACAAAACTAACCACTTTATACAACCCTTTTACACAAAATAACCAGTTTTTAGGGGTTTTACAAAACTAACCACACGGATCTCCCCCGGATCGCCCTCGGGGGCCATCCGTACTAGTGGGGGGCCGATCCGGCCTTTTTCTTAGAAAAAAAATTTAAATTTCTTTTCTTCCACTTGGGGAGAGCCACGTCATCACATCTCCCCCGGGGGGCGATCCAGGCTTTAAGTATTTTTTTTTAATTTTTTTCTTTTTTTTGTAATACCAATTTCACTATAAATACCAACCTCCTAATTCATAATTTTTCACACATTCCCTTTCATTTCTCTTCTCATATATTCTACTCTCACAACCTTTAACCCATTAAACACAATCAACCATCACAAAACTTGAAATCACGTCAAAGTGATGATGTTTGTGTGTATCTTCGAAGTTGCGGTTAAAGCCCGTACGCATATATACGTTAAAATTACGTACGTAAAACGTACGTGAATATACGTAAATATGCATATGTGTTAAAACCCGTACGCATATATACATTATAATACGGAGTTTCAATTTTTGTACCGTTTATATCGGTTTTTTTTACGTAATGCATCTCTCTCTCTATATATATATATATATGTTATCGCAATTTATATCGTTTTTTTTTTACGTTATGCATCTCTCTCTATATATATATATGTTAGTGTAATTTATATCGTTTTTTTTTACGTTATGCATCTCTATATATATATATATACGTTACCGCAATTTATATCGTTTTTTTTTACATTATGCATCTCTCTCTTTTTTTCTCTCTCTCTCTCTCTCTCTATATATATATATATATATATATATATATATATATATATATATATACGTTAACACAATTTATATTGCTTTTTTTTACATTATGCATCTCTCTCTCTCTCTCTCTCTATATATATATATATATACACGTTACCGCAATTTATATCGCTTTTTTTACGTAAATGTAAGTGGGTATATATATACGTATATATATACCTACTTACATTTACGTACATATATATACGTACATACATACGTGAAGATATGTAAATATGCGTACGGGTTTTAACCCGTACACATATACGTATAAAATACGTACGTAAAACGTACGTGAAGATACGTAAATGTGCATATGGGTTAAAACCCGTACGCATATATACGTTAAAATACGTATGTAAAACGTACGTGAATATACGTAAATATGATATATACGTATAAAATACGAAGTTCAATTTTTGCACCGTTTATAAAATACGAAGTTCAATTTTTGTACCGTTTATATCACTTCGAAGATACATACAAACATCATCACTTTGACGTGATTTCATGTTTTGTGATGGTTTATTGTGTTTAATGGGTTAAGGGTTGTGAGAGTAGAATATATGAGAAGAGAAATGAAAGGGAAGGCGTGAACTACAAATGGTTATTTTGGGGAAGAGGGTTGTATAAAGTGGTTAGTTTTGTCATTTTTCCTATTATAAATTAGTGTAAACTACAAATTTGGTCCCTGTGGTCTGTCAAAAATAACACTTTTCGTCCCTGCAGTTTTGAAATTACAAGATGGCATGGTGGTTTACAAAAACATCTAGATTTGGTCCCTTCCTCTAGCAACTGTAAAAAATAACCGTTGAATGAGGGGCATTTATGTTCTTTTATCGATCTTTGTCGTTTACCAAATCAAAAACTACAGGGACCAAAATCGTTTTTCATTTCGTAAAAGACAAAAAAAATTGTTAAAAAGTACGAAAATGCTCCTCATTTAATGGAACCTTTGAACGGCCGTTAGAGGGAGGGACCAAAGCCAGACGTTTTTGCAAACCACGATGGCCATCTTGTAATTTTGAAATTGCAAAGGGACAAAAAGTGTTATTTTTGACAAACCATAGGACCCAATTTGCAGTTTATGCATTTCGTCCCCATGGTTTTGGATTTGTCATGGTATAAGTTTTTGCTTGGTATTGGTCCCTACCATTAACTTCGTTAATTTTTTTCCTGGTGTCAATATGAGGGGGCCTTGTGGTTATTTTACAAGTAAATTTAAAAAATTCTAAGCTATATTTTAGTTAAAAAACATCACCTACGACGACCACCAACACAAAGTACATGTACATTTTCAGGAAAGAAAAGCTACGGACATAGAGAACATCAAAACCCTAGATCTGAACTATAATCAAAATGAAATGCATTTCAAAAGTTTGTATACATCAATGAACACATACAAAATGATCATATATGATATCAATATAGTATTTTGGCTCATTGAGTAATAGGTGATAACATGTGTGTTGTGTTTGTATAATATGCTATACCGAATTTGTCCTTATCAGTCATGCACTCATGCCATGAAAATGCCACGGCTTTGCCGTGGCTCCTAAGGCTTGAAGCTTGACCTCATAGCCTCGCCACGCCACTCCTTACGATATTTAGATTCTTGGTTTTTTCATATATATGCTATATTCTTCTTTTGTATATATTATATTTGAATAGACACTTTTAAATAACTTTATACACTATATTCTTGTTTGCGTGTTTTTTCAAATATGAATGTGCACAATATTTTTTTTGTATGCATATTCATATACGAATAAACACCGTCAAATAACTTTATACATTATATTCATGGTTCATGGTTGTGTTTTTATTCATACATGTATATACATTATATTCTTTCTTCTGTGTACCTGTATACAAATAAACACCAAATAACTTTATATTCTATATCCATGTCCGTGTGTTCATTCGACATGAATATACACTATATTCTTTTCTCTGTGTATATTCATATGAAATGTTGAAATCTAATTATGGGGCAGAAAGAATATATTTATAAAACAATACCTTGATCCACTTGGATGCACAGAGTACCAATCTTATTAGATAATTACAAAAGGAAAGTAAGACGATGCCAATTTACTTGGATAGTTATCAAATGCATAGAGCTGCCAATTTACTTCGGAAGTCGATGATGAACACTCTTTTATTAGCTTTCTTTCACTTGCAACTTGTCATGAATTTTGCTTTTTGAACTGTAGCCAAAAGTGCATCCCCATAACATTTGCTGCTAGACCTCATATTCCGGTTAAATTATGATATAAAATTTCCAAATATCTATTTCACTGGATTGCCATTAGTTTCCTAGTCCCCCGCATCATGTGGCCTCCAATGCATCCCCCTTTGTCTATCCTGCTCTTGCAACAAGATATTTTACTCCTGTTTCTGTGGTTAATATATCTGGTTGATAATTACGAGAAAGAAATTCCTCTCCTACTAACTGTTAAGGATTTTTAGATTTCAAAGGCATGGAGAAGATGGTTTGATTTAGTTAGCTAGATAAATATTGTGGAATGTTCCTTTGTGCAAACATCTTGGTCAAACTAGAGAAACATCCTCCCTAGCTGTAGCAGTTCTTATAGTATGGATTTCATGTTATTCTGGACACTTGGGACTCCACACCATCCTCATCCGCAAGCAGGTTTCATAAAAAGGAAGTTTTTGCAAGTGTCTTTGATATACTTATCTTTTGATTTGGTATCCTTAAAAATCCTATATAAAGGATGCCTTGGTTGTCATTTGTAGGAGTGTTAAGAGGTAAGCAAGTAAGGTTGCAAGGATAAGCATTCTCCTGGAACTACAAGCTTTTGGTGCTTTAGTTTTTGTTGTATTTCCTTTTCCTTTAATTAATGAAGTTTTAAGTATTCAAGTTTCTTTTTCCTTGCAATTTTTCTTAGAAGATTTTTATATTTAATTCTCTATAACTTTAATTATGCTTTTTACATTCTTGCATTTTAATATTTGTCATCTTTAACCTTCTAGTATTTTTGTTTCTCAAAAGTCTTTACTTTATGTTCTCGTAGTTATTTCCATCTAGTCTTTAATTTCTCATAATTTTATTTAATCACCATAAGTATTTATTTTTAGAGCTTTGATTTCTTTATTTCTTTAAGTTAAAATTTCAAGGACCACGAGCAATGATAGGCTAAAAACCTTGGCTTGGGTGTGGGGTGAACTTGAGACTAAACTGATTTTGGTGGTGGAAATTCTTAATTCATAACAAATCTTTCCTACCATTCATTCAAGGTTATATTGATAAAAATCACATATTTCGGCAAGTTGATCATTGTAAAAAATGTTATGTGATGGACTTAGAGATAAGCCATCTTGAATACGTCAACTTAAATGATATGGAGGCATGCTCAAGAGAGTTACTTAGAACCGAGGAAACATGTTTTGATTACCTATAGCTTATACAAGGGCTAGAGTTAGTTCATGAACGCGTGCCCTTCTCAATCTCGAGAGACTGTCTTAGAAAAACAAATGGTTAGATAACATGAGTTATTCGTGGCAATGCTGAAAATCATTGTCTAATGTTGCAGCATTTTGTTGAATTGATATGTTTAAAAGGCTTAACAAATCCCTACATTCTTGCCCCTTTTTGAACATTTGTTCGCATTAGTAGTTGTAATCACCGGTCACAAAAATTTCTTCGACTTCATCATCTGAAATTGTCTTTTTGTTTGATTTAAGAAAGTTCGGATTTTCCCGTCTTTGTGGATCAATAATTAGTATTTTACCATTTTATTACTTGTTTAAGACTACAATGGATCGATAAGTGTATATCTGCATGAGTGTTCATTTAGTCTGAAAGATTTATTCCATATAAATCTCGCAGCAACAGTTCTTCACACTTTTATCTTTCTGTTTGTTATTTTAAGATTGTTCTCATGATAGGTTGAAATTGCAAAAGCTTATGAGAGCGGTGGAGCAGCATGCCTCAGTGTTTTAACCGATGAAGAATATTTTCAGGTGATATTGAGCATATCATGCTTGGTATTTTACTAATATTCATGGAAAATTTATGTTCATGTTATAATTTTTTGTTTATAACCAAAGGGAAGCTTTGAGAATCTAGAGGATATACGGAATTCTGGAGTCAAGGTACAATGTTTCTTGATCCTTTGCCACATCTTGTGAACTATAGGAGCCTTTGACACTAGTTAAAATGCAGTGCCCTCTTTTGTGCAAAGATTTCATTGTGGATGTAGTGCAACTCTACTATGCTCGAATAAAGGGCGCCGATGCTGTTCTGTTGATTGCAGCTATTTTACCGGATATTGACATCAAACGTATGCTGAAGATTTGCAAAAAGATTGGATTGGCGGCACTCGTTGAGGTTTCATGTCTTTACGAGTTAGACTTTACCTTTCACTTTCGTATGATTCTCGTTTCAATCTACCTCACCTGATTTGGTAGATTGAAGCTTAGTTGAGTGCTATGTTTTCGTGCAAAGGATAATTCCTTTACCAGTGTTTATGGCCTTAGGGATCCCAGTAATCTTTAAATATTTGCTTGGATGGACAAATCATTTGATCCTCCGCTTGGTTTAGGTCAAATCCTAACAACCCAGTTTGAAAAAAGAACCGTTTAAAAACAATGATCCAATGGTTCAAACTGATCAACCCTGTTTTAAAGGTTCACCCATTAACCAATAAAGTTTGAATATTTATACAGCTCTTGTACCTTATCTTCGAAAGTCTTTTATTTCATAGTTTACTCGGTGGTTTATCTAACAACCGACTTTTGTAAGTGAATTGTGTTTCTTGATTCTTTGTATTTAATATATCATCATTTGAATGAATCTCCTTACATTTTTTACTGTTTAATTTGAAAAAAAAATCGTGCCACCTCTTTGTAGGAATTTTCCAAATATTTATATGTTCGAGTGTTCAACAAATTATTTAGGTCATTATCATGTAATATATATATGTATGTATGTATGTATGTATGTATATTAATTTTGAGGTCATGTGTCAATAACAGTCTGATCATTGTTGACTTGTCCAGCCATCCACTCTTAAACCATTGGATCTGAGTTTTAAAATATTGGATCTGAGTGTACTTGGTTGTTTTATTAGAAACTCAACTTCTGTAAATGATTTTTTTTTTCTTGGCTCTTTGCTTTTCATATTTTATAAATGATTTCCTTATGTTTTTCTAATGATAAATTTGAAATTGGTTTCATTGTAGATTTTTTTTTAAATCTTTGTATTGTTCCAGTATTAAATAATTATTTATGTAAAATATATATTTTTTAATTTCAGTCAGACCATAGTTGAATAGTGGCATGTTCTGCCGTTGGCTTTCCAGCTCTACGACCAGTCTGGAAATATCAATGAAGCAACTGACCTTTTTCATGGGGAATCTCTGCTTTTATTCTAGGTACACGATGAGAATGAAATGGACCGCATGCTAGGAATTGATGGAATTGAACTTCTTGGCATCAACAATCGTGACCTTGGTATCCCATGAGCTTTGTGGCTTTGTATTGATGATTGTTCCTTATTATTCATCTTGCTGGTTTTGTTAATGCATCTGTTGCCATAATAATAGTCGAGGATCTTCTTGGGAAAAGCCTAGCTGTCTTGTGGGACAGAGGTAAGGTCTGCTACATCCCCCCAGGCCCCACGGGGCAGTGGGACCCTACTTTCAGGTGGGATATACCGGGTCGGTTTGGTTTGGTTTGGTTTGGTTTGGTTTGGTTTGGTTCATCTGTTACCATAATATTCTATAACCTGATCATGGAACTTCATGAATAGATGTAGTTTTGAACAATTTCATGGCATACCTGCAGAAACATTTGAAGTGGATATCAGTATCACAAAGAAGTTGCTTGAAGGTGAGCGAGGAGAGAAGATCCAGCAGAAAGGCATAATCGTAAGTGCAACTCAAGAAGCTGTGCCGAGATCGAGGGTAGGGATCCTTTTCTGGTTGAATGTCTTCTGACGATTCCATTTCATGTGTCAGGTGGTTGGGGAGTCTGGATTGTTCACTCCTGATGACATTGCCTATGTTCAAGAAGCTGGCGTGAAAGCTGTAAGTGGCTCGGTTCTGTCTATTTTCTACGATGCAAAAGCAAAGTTCTAAATGACGTCAGCATGGCAGTGGGGTCAAGAGCCGCATGCCTTAGGAACCATGGCAAGGCCACATTTTTCAAGGTGTCATTTATGGTGGTAAATCTATATATTGTATATAGAGTTAATTACGGATTTGGTCCCTGTGGTTTGGTGGCTTTATGAATTCGTCCGTTGAACTTCATTTATCACGGGAGTGGTCACGTCGTTTGCACATTTGTAATGGTTTGGTCCTTCACCCTAACGTCCATCCACAATCTTTGTTAACTACAGGGGTAATTCTGTATTTTGTCATTTTCCTCCATTATAACAGTTTCTTTTCTTGTTTAGTTGAATACTCATCTTCTTCAAACAACCAAACATCAACAAAGAAACCCAAATCCATTCTGAAAGTCAACCCTAGATTTTGATGAACATTTATGCAGTAAATTTATTTTGGTTCGAACGACAACTCCAAATCAGAAACCTACCTACTGCACCTTCAACATCTGGAAGGAAGTCAAAGACCTTCCAGCCTAGTGGTAAAGGCTTGGGCATGGCTTAGTCATGAACCCAAGTTCGAGCCCTGGGAGGGGAGTGTTGGCGACATTTAAGTGGGGCCATGTTTAGCCTCCAAAATTGCCGGGGATTAGTTGGGCTTTGGCCCGGACACCCTTACAAAAAAAAAAGATCTGGAAGGAAACTGCATCGTTCATCTTGATCATTCAAGATCTGGATCGTCCTTGGTGGTGGTGACTCAGCATCTGCATCAATCTTGCATCTCGTTCTTGTGATTTGACAAACAATTCTTTATGAATCTTGATGAGAGTTAACACGAATCCGAATGGGGGAGGATTATCTCAGTGGTTCCATTCCGAAAGAGACATTCAGTTTGTGTAAACTCTTGCAGATTCAGCTTCAAGATATCTCCTTACCTGCGAATTCAAGATAATCTCCTTGTCAAAGAAACTTCTAAGAAGTTTTTGATTTAAGGTTGATTTATGTTTAGTTTTAGGTTTTCATTTAGGGTTTTTTATTTGGTTGTAGGGCTTCATTTAAGGTTTTTGATTTTGATATTAGGGTTTTTAATTTTGATGTTACGGTTTTGTATTCAAGAAAGAATTTAAAATGAAGGAAAATAGCAAAATCCATAATTGCCCATATGGTTAACGGAGATTGTGTATGGACATTAGGGTGAGGGACCAAATTGTTACAAATGTGCAAACGATGAGTCCGATTCCGTGATAAATAAAATTCAGGGACCAATCTTTGAAAAGACCACCAAACCACAGGGACCAAATCCGTAATTAACTCGTGTATAATATACACACAGATTTCTACTATTCCTCAATGAGAATAATGTTGAACACTTTAAGTTCTATAAGAAGAATATATTGATATTTATATAAAGAGCTTAGAAAAAAGGTGGTATTAAGAGAACATAACAACCAATGATTCCACCTACCTCTAATACAAGTAAATTGTGTAATGGAAAGTAAGGGCAGTTTATTTAAATGCTTACCCAGTAAGTGCTTAATGTTAGGAATCAACACTATAATTTATTTTATTGGGTAAGATTGTAGTATGTCAAAACGTATCATATACAACAATTTACCTGGTAAGCGCTTACCCAGGTAAGAGTCGTCACCCTCACTTACCGGGCAAGACTCTCCATCCTTATCATCGCCCTTACTCGGTAAGATTCTTATCCCTTGCCATGTTCATCGGGTGAGGAAAATTACTCGGTAAGTACTTACCAGGCAAGTGTTTAGTAAACGGCCCTAAAACACTATAAAGTAAAAAAGACTATATACATGCATGTACTTAAATACTGGGGTTATGTTGCTTCACTTATGCAGATATTGGTCGGGGAGTCGATTGTGAAGCCGAAAGATCCGATACAAGGAATTAGAAAGCTTTTTGGAAAAGATATATCAGCTTAAGGTAATCGGGAGAAATTGGAGATGCAGCAGGACTTTTGATCAAACTTCTAAGAACCTGTTATCCGTAAAATAAAGTACAACTGGATCTTGTTTTGTATTACTACTTAAAACATCAAGGCTGGTTGGTTTGCTTCGGTTCTAACACCAACCATAAACTAAGTTCAACGACCAGGTGACCGATGGGGCGTGGCGACAATGAAGATTGATAACTTGTGTTCTCTCTCCAAGAGGTCTGAGGTGGCTACTGGTGTTATTCTGTAAGTGGTTTGTGTTGGTCAACTGGGGTGGCCATCGGCGTGGTTTGGATTTGCTGTTGGCTTCCCGTTGTGTTCATCGACTTTGGCTTATTCAAGGATATTTGGTATTTCAGGCATGGCCTGGATTTGTTTGGAAATTACAGTTGCAAATTTGATTATCAGTATTGCAAATGAATGGTTGGAATATTAATGTTTTCTCTAAGATTGGAGATCCATGGGAAAAGAGCACTATATTAAAAAAAATCCTTAGTGAAAGCGAGTCTTCATAGGGTAATTGTCACTGCTTATGGACCCGAACCTGGGTGATCTATCCACTTGGGTGAAACTAAATGGAGGTCCGAACCGACTGATGTTGAAGAATCAGTGGATGAGTTGTGGTTAGGGGTGAAATGTCACTCGAACCCAGAGCTAGCTGGTTCTCCCCGAAATGTGTTAGAGGCGTAGCAGTTGACTGAACATCTATAGTGCGGGCCGCGAGAGCGGCACCAAATTGAGGCAAACTCTGAATACTAGATATGACCTCAAAATAACAGGGATCAAGGTCGGCCATTGAGACGATGGGGGATAAGCTTCATCGTCGAGAGGGAAACAACGTGGTGGCTTAGGGGCTGTTTACCCAAATGCTTACCCAGTAAGTGCTTACCTATAGGAGTCAACAATATAATTTACCTTGATGCGTAAGATTTTAGTACATCAAAACGTATCGAATACAACAATTTACTGGGTAAGCACTTACCTGGGTAAGAGTCGTCATCTTCACTTGCCAGGTAAGACTCTACATCTTTCTCATCGCTCTTACCCGGTAAGATTTTTGGCCCTGTCATGTTCATCCGATGAGGAAATTTATCCGGTAAACACTTGCCCAAACAAGCGTTTAGTAAATGGTCCCTTGGTTGGTAGAAATTATGCACTAGATAATATATATATATATAAAAGTATGTATGCATATATGTATTTGTGTATTAACAAACAATTGAGTTCTTAAAGAGGAAAACTTTGAAGACACATGGATGTAAAGTCTTATTTATGCACATCCATGTGAAGAAGAAAAAGTCAAAAAGGAAATGAAACACATGCAAACCGACCAGCGCCACTCAAGCTAGGCACTGATGCTAGCGGACACCGAAGCCCTCGCGCATACCGTTTAGAGTTCAGGGAGCTACCCTGAACCCCACGAGGGCATCGTCCCTTGACCCCTTACAAGATATCCAGCAATCATGCATTCAAGTTAGCTTATATAAGTGTGCACTTTCCACCTCCTATCTTGTATTATAGCTTAACTGAAACCCTAAGTTGTTATAGCGGTGAAAATATAAAATTGTATTCAGGATCAATATTTGAAATAGCAGTTATAGCTTAAACCCCCTTCAGTCGCTTGTAAATCTTTGTTACTCCAAATGGTCTAATGACACAAAAATCATCAAGTTATATATAGATATATATACACACACACAATCATACGTGTTTATGGTTGAATATTTACTTGTAATTGTTAAGCATCCATTGTTGAAGGTTCTTGACACTTGTAGGTTATTAAGATTGTTCTGATGATCGGTTGAAGTTCCAAAAGCTTATGAGAAAGGTGGAGCAGCATGCCTCATTGTTCCAAGTTCCAACCGATGCAGAATGTTTTCTAAGCACGTAGCCTTCGACCTCTAAGGAGGTCAGAGGTTCAAACCTCACTATAGGTGAGGAGGGTGTGTGAGTTTATTTGTTGTATTTACCGTTATAAATATTATATGCTTCCAAAAAAAACTTGATGCATATTAAAATCAAGTGAAGAACATGAAGCATCTATTTAATGTTTGAGGCGAAAAAACATTGGTTGTCAAACAACCATTTTCACACTTGTGTAATAGCAAAGTAAAACAACAATAGCCACCTTCTTTCGTCTTTTATTGCATCGTTCATAAACACCGGTGTATGAGTGTAATTATAGTTGTCACAGACATCGTTGTTCATAACTTCCCTATATATAAATATATATATATATATATATATATATATATAAAGAGAGAGAGAGAGAGAGAGAGAAAGAGAGAGAGGGGAGATTCAAAGAACATTAACCAAATAAAAGAACACAAAAGTCGTGTGAATCACATGTGAATTTACACATGATTTTAGTGTAAAATTACATATGATTCAACCGTTTTCTAATTCTCTTATTTGGTTACACATGATTTTAGTGTGAAGTTATGTATGATTTGATCGTTTTCTAATTATCTTGTATGGTTACTCTTCTCGCATGAACATTTATATAAAAGGTAATAACCTTTACTGCCCAACCTGACAGCGGACAACTAATGCGTTCCACTTATTGAACAGGGTTCTATGGTCGGTCCGTGACCCCTGGATGCCGAAGGCGTCCTTGGGGTAATCTTGTAGCTCCTACAGGGTGAAGATGATGAGATCGGTCCATGTATTTTCCTTCCTTTTGCAGCATTTCGCTCAAAGGGTTGAAGACATTTGCCATGTTTAATGATTGTTATCGTCTTGTGACATATTATTTGAATAGTAGTCACGAAATCAAACATAAAACTTAGATGGAATATGAATCACCAAGCCGGGTGATTGCGAACTTAAACTCGGGATGGTTAAACCAGTTCTTGATTCCTGACTCGCTTGAGTGGACTCGTTGATTAATCGGTCAAACTCGGGCTTACCAAAACCCAACCTGGTTCGGTTGGGTCCAGGGTTATACGACTGTGCATGTTCTGAACCGAGGGATACCACCTTCGTAGATTTTCGTTCAGAAACACCGACCATGGCGATTTCCGGCGATGCAGACGCCGATGTATCGAACTATCTCGAGTACCGGTCCAAGAAAGATGAAGCATGGTACACCTCGGCGGTAGTTTTGGAAGACGGAAAGCAGCTCCGCGTGAAGTTCAGGGATTTTGTGCATAGCTACTATGACGAGGTCTTCTCCGTCGCTGATTTCTCGACTAAGTCTGAACTACAAGAATTCCTCCATCGATTCCGTCGTTTGTCCGAGCCGATCGAGGACAATGAATGCTCCAGAGTGATAGCAGACATGATGGTCTGTGCTACTTATAAAGGCGATGGATCAGTTCGATTCTTTGATGCCATTGTTGACTCTGTATGTATATTATCTTAAATTTAGGGCACAATACACTTGCATTTAACAAAATTTTCAATTTCCTTCTCGAAAAAAAGAAGACAGTCGCATTCTCTGATCATATCGATTACTTCATTATTCTCCAATTTTAATCGAATTAGCTGACCTAAACCATGCTTAGATGTTATTTTTTTCAATTTTTCATCTTTTGTCTCAATTAAGGTTAGTTAATTTGATTAAGATTGGAGGAAAATGATGACAATTTTCATTGTTGTAAAAGGATAAGCATGCTAACCTTTTGTTGGAGTACCTAAAAAGTAAAGCGAAATTATCTTTTTTTGTCTAAATTTTATAAGCGTACTTTTATTAATGATAAGTGTTTCTTATTGTAAACCTGATTAAGATTGTAGCGTGGCAGATTATGAATGATGATTTCAGTTTAACCTACTGAAAACTTAAACCACAGAGCCCTATACTCATCTCGTCACCATGCCAAATTAGGAAGAAAATAGAACAACAAAATATGCTACTTGCTTCGAGAATCTTGTAGAAGGTGGCGTGGCAAAAAATTTCATATGCTTCATTTCAAATGAAAGGGTTGTCCCTTTTCTTATATTGGTTATATGGAGCTACCCGAGTTGGGAGGAGAATCTAGGTGTACCTCTTATAAGGAATGAGATATTTGAATATCTTTTCGCTAATGAATATCTTGACTGAGATGGAACTGCTTAAATGAGGTATATTGCAGAACAGAATAATCAGATAACATTGTAGAACAAGAATACAGGATTCTTGAGAGGGTATTCTACTTAGAACTGCATTTTGATCTTTGGATGTAGATTTGATTAGAGGGCCATGACCATGAGGAAGGCACCATGGTCAGGCTGGGGAACAAATACCTTCACTTCTACTGCCAAGTGTTCCACAGGATGGAAGAAGACTGTGGTTTCTCCTTCCGCGTCCGATGGAGCCTTCTTGGTCTTGCTTCAGTCCACATCTAGAAGAATACGGTTTTAGAATTTAATAGTCCAAAGGTTTTGAATGCGAAAGGGTCTTTTTATAAATCTTGATCACATTAACTAGGAGAACATTTAAGTTGTAACATTAAACTTCATCACTCACCGGTCATCACAACTTTTGTGTTCATAGTAGTAAATGGGCAGATGCGTAAATGTGTATTACTAATTTTAGTATATGTTATTATGCAAGCATGTCTTTCCACTTATGTACCTAAATTCTGTTCTGTTATGGATAGGTGCATTACAAAGAGCATACGCCAGAGAAGTGTTTATGCACCTATTTACTGGTCTGGCAGCATGGTCCTGAAGAGGGCAATATAACAGCAACAAGTATTGAGGATATATGCCTTATTATGCCTGGTGCTGTTGATCCCAAAGTGACTGACTTTGCAAAGATTGTGAAGGAAAAACTTGGTTTAGTTTACAAGAGACCATTTTTGTCTAGAAAAACAAGTTCAAACGAAACTCTAGATGAGTTGCAGGCAAGTATTCTAATGGCTGGGATTTTATGTTTGGTTTTTGACTCCTCTTTTTCTATTTTGTGATTTAGGATAGTTATCTTTAAATGGTTGGTTACTTGATTTTGTAGGATTTTGACAGTGCTGGACACAGTTCTTATGTTGGATTTTCTAAAGGTTTTGTGCTTGACATAAAATATGCTTTGTAAACTTTATTTCCTAAATCGTAGTGAGTTTAGAACTTATTTTGCTTTGTTTGGCAAGGATAGGGAGGGGAGGATTCTACCCTCCACTAAGCGACCATGACAGAGATCTGGGAGGTGTCAAAGAAACTGGCTGTCATCATTACATAATATTAGAGAATTTGGAGAAAGATCTATCTCCATCATCAATGATGGAGTTCTTACACGTGCAAACTTCAATTACACCACAGGCATTTCTTTTTCCAAGCTTGTCAGCAGAAACATATGCAAGAGGAGCAGTTGTGGTGGATAGCAGACCAAAGCTTAAGAGAATATATGAATTTTTAAGCAATCCAAATCATTTTATTGTATCTTCCTCTGGAAGGTAAGTAAGCATTATTGTTGTTTTTTAAGCTTACAGTACATTCTCGGTGCAATATTGGCCTTTACGTATTGGTCTGACTCTTTTAGATATTTTTCTGGTCATAAGGATTGTCATGACGGGATGCCCTTTACCTGGGCTCCAGCCTTATTTTCTGAACAGGTTTATATCATTAGCATGCTAGATATAGTCTTTTATGATATTAATCTGGATGTTCATATAATGACCTCACACCAAATTGAGATAGCTTTATTCCATAGAAGAAAGAAATTCAATAAGAAATTAGGAGATCTCAAACGTTTTCAGCTGCTGAGCCGAAAAATGGCCCCTCAGATTGATGTGCTTGGAGACGGGTTCCATGTGGGGCCGGTTGGAGTTGCCGGTAATCGACTTATTGCCCGAATATAATATTTTTATTTCTTAAACAGTGATAGACCTCATTTAAGTGTGTTCATTCTATAAGATGGCAGGGTTGTATGTGTAGTCTTATCTGTTTCTTATTTGAGTTGCAACCATCTCAGAAGCATTAGATATATATATATATATATATATATATATATATATATATATACATATACATACATACATATACATATGTTCGTTTGAAGTATCATCTTTTCCACTGCAATGATGTTAGTTTCAATGCTATCATGTTGAGCCACATTAGATGGTAGAAAGTGATTTAAAAGGCCCAAGTGTAAATGATGGTACCGGTTTTTGGTAGAAGTTATGGAGATGCACGATATATTACCATTATCAACTGCAAAAATAGCATGTATCTAAATTGCAACTTAATACTTCTTGTGTTTAATCTGTTTTTCCTGTATGTTAAATTGCAAATATCGTGGTGATGAAGGTTTAATAGTTACTAGCAGTTTATTCAAGTCATTTTATTTCCCGTAGGCCATGGGTAATAGCTGAAGCTGTGCTTAGGACTGGAACTTTTGACACAAACCTGCAGAGCTGTCAGCCATTGTCTAAGGTAAAGATTTCCATTTCCCTTCTGTTGTTATCATTATAAGGGGGTTTGGAATGGAATTCAGTTAGGTTTGACCACATTTTTGGTTACGAAAAATTGGAATGGATAATGCCAAATGAATTGGAATCTCTCTCTTTGGTCCGCAGATGCATATTGTCCAAAAAAGAATTTGTGTTTCTGTGATAAGTCCGTCCCACCTTCTCTAAGACCTCCTCTAAGACCTCTTCTGCCTTCTTCACAGTTTTTCCCAACCATATTTAATCATCTTATTTCTCTTTCAAACACTACATTTCCCGTCTTCCTGTTTATTCTTCATTTATTTTGACCCCCTGGCACTCCCAATCCCAGAGCAAAAATACAGGGAGCGGGTTAATGGTCGTGCGCTTAGGAACAGAAAGATATAATAGAGCTAAACAACGAAAAGATCTATACATGGAATTCCGTAAGCATCTAAATGGACTTCTGCAGAGGTTAGATTTGGAGGAGAAGAAGTGTCTTCCTTCCGGTGCATATTAGTTTTTGCAAAGTGTAGATATGCAATTTCTAATGCAGGTAAATAATAAATCTGACTTTTTTTTATGAGTTATATCCTATCAGAAGTTTATAACATGCAATGTCCTTCTTTTCTATATCCTACACAAAAAGTCGATAATTTAAGAGAATATAGTTATTTGGTGCAGGTGTTGTAAAGGTGCAAAAGATGTGCTGTATTTTGGTGAGATAGATGGCATTAAGCATAACTTCCAGTGGGTGCAATGCAATTGCAGGCATTTTGCCTGTGCCTTAATGAAAATATTGGCTTCAATTCCTTAAGAAAGCATGATGACAGGTGAATGTAACAAACCACTTTTAGATTTGGTGTTGGCTGTTTCTATGGTCGGTCGGTGTCTTGTTTGTTGTAGCGTATACTACTACTAGTGTTAAAAGAGACTCGAGTTTGTTTTATATGTGTGTGTTTTCCTTTCGGGAGGGGGGTTGGTTTTCGTGAAGGAGTCACACCCGTCTTCTAGAATGAAGAGAGCGTTTTCTCCATGAATTTTGTCGAAAATATTGGCCCGACAGTTTTCGGGTTATCAGTTGATCTCTAAAGGCGAGTAAAATGTGAGAAGTGTGTGTGATTTTACAGTATATAAATATCATATATACTTAGAGTTCCTCTACCTAAAAGCTCACCTACTAGAAGTAAACATTTTTATATACCTTATTGATATATAACAATTCATCTGGTAAGTATTAATTGGGAAGTCATCATTTTTATTTATCAGATAAGATTCTCAGTCATTGTTAAATTTATCTGGTAAAGTTATTGGATAAGTGTTTGATTGACAGTCTTAATCTTAATTATATTAAGTAATCAAAATTGTCCAAAGGACTACTAGATTTATATAGTGTGAGAGAATTAAGTGGGTTAAGTTTAGAATAACATTTAGTATTGTTTTTTTTCCTTCATTTATTATGTTATAAATATTTTATAGCAAAAGACAAAATGGATAAAAAAAATTAACCACAAATTACAAGGATTGTGTCGATTGGTTTTAACTTGGGTTCTAAAGCTTAAAATATCTGGAAATCTCAGGTTCAAATCCAAAGAAAAATAAAAATTCATTATGACCATGGAGGTTCAAACGCAATGACTTCAGGCTATCCGTAAAACAGGTGGTCACTCTAGGATTAATCGGTTTGCATAACGAATTGAATATCCAGGTTAATAAAAAAAATTAATATGTTCATATGTAACAAGTAAATGATATTGTTCCAATTTTTTGATCATTTGAAGTTTACAAATATCTACATGAAATTAATCGTTTTAGAAAGCAATTGATGAAATTATTGTCACACTGCTTAGAGCATCTCTAAGACGATTGTTTATTTTAGAAAATTTAATGTTAATCACATTATTATATATTCTATAACTTTATCATTTTAATATATTTTAAAAAATAATATGAAATAATAATAATTCAATCTCACTAAATATTTATTTCTTTTCTATCAAGCATTAAATAATTCTCTAAATTTAAAATTTCATCTATTTTAAAGAATCTGTTAGAGATGCTTTTAAAACATGCTTGTAAAATATCTATCATATCGATATTGCATTTTTATTAAATAGTTTTGCATACAATTATCTGTGCACACACAGACACATATATACATATAATTCGTATTAAAATATTTTTTGTTGTTTTTATAGCGTGGGCCACTCGACATTACATAGACCCCCGTTACTCGTATTGGTCCTAATCAAACTTGTTTCAATCCCTTTCTGCTCGATGTGTGTTCCCACACATAGAAATAATGTTTTCATGCATAACATAGTTTTTATATCAAAAAGCGTTTGGCAATTTATAAGAACATATAAAACACATGGTATGCGATCATCTAAAAATCGTATATGAATATGTATCATGTTTTGCAATTCATATGAAAGTCCCTAGTCGTGTAGTGTAACATTATGATTTTTGTCTCAGTTGAAGAAAGTGTTGAACCAAGTGGTTTAGTAAAGAAAAAAACTAGTTATGAAGTTTGACTATAGTGTTGAACCAAGTCGTCTCAATTATTGTGTCATGTGGTTGTGATATCTGTCATAATATCACCCATGGTACTGAGAGTATGGTCATCTCGACTATTGTGTCATACGGTTGTGGCACCTGTCACGGTAGCACCGGTGACACCGAGTGTTTGGTGCTCCCGACGATTGTACCATGCAATAGTGACACTGGCACCCCTAAGTTCTATATGTGTTTCACCATTAGAATAGTTTAATTAAGTATTTTGAAGTTGGATTATATTGGGTATCATCTTTTAGGCGAGAAAACAGGTTCAAACGGGTGAAAAGTAGGGGAAAAAAACTATTGGTACTCGGTCATGGGACAGTGCCCGGCAATAGTGCCATTGGGCACAATAGCATGTTAGGGTAGCCAAGGGAGAAAGGGAGCCTCGGTACAATCCGGGCGATTGCGCCCGGCGATAGTAACATGGTCACAATCGCCTGTAACTATCGTGGACGACCTGTAGTGCATAAAATCGGGATTTTCTTCATTTGGCCATAACTTTTTCACGGCTACTCCGATTTGGGCGATTTAAGTTCCTATGGATCCATATTTCGAAGATCTTCAAAATGGAAACAATGCGGATTGGATTTTTTTCAAAGATATGGGGTTCCTATTAGTCAAGATAAATCTTGATTTTAATATTTTATTTTATTTTTTATCTCAATCGATCTTATAATATGGTCTTATATGATTTTGAAAAAGCGATGATGTTTTTATTTTTGAATAAAATATAAATTTAAAGATATCATAAAAATCTGACAAAAATATATCGATATTAATATCACATTAACTATTTAAAATTCATCATTTTTGTGTAATTTTTTAATTTAATTTTTAATAATAATTTAATTTAAGTTCAATAACGAAGTAATTTATATTTGGTTTAATAATATAATTTTCTTATAAAAATAATAGTTAATTATTTTATTAGAAGTCGATAATTATCCTAATTATATTTTAAAAATTTTATATTTTAAAATAAAATGTTTATCATCTATTTGATTATGTTTATCCGTAATTAGTTATACGAATTCAAAAATAGAGCTTTAATAAGTTATATTTATACATAATTTACTTGTAATATTGAATATTAAGTAATATGCATCAATAAAAAGTAATGCATAAAAAAAATGGTTTAAAATTGAACATAAAATCAGAATTTGTACTTATTTTAGAAAAATAATAACAATTAAAAAACAAAAAATCCGAGTTATTACAGTTAAATTCGAAGTTGGATTTTAGCCACAGTTTATAACTGCGTATAGGCCAAACCCAAACTCCATTCCTCAGATCTATCCTCCCCCAATTTCTGCAACAATCACATGAATTCGATTTTGGCTTCAATTTCATCATCCTGTGTTATGCTTCTTTCGTAGAGATTAAAGATGATGAGGTTTCAAACAATTTTGACGGTTATTGTCGTTGTATCATCCATGTTAATAACCCATGTTGTCGGGATTAGATTTGTGATCGACAGAGAAGAGTGTTTGTCTCACAATGTTGAGCACGATGGCGACACAGTTCATTTTTCTTTCGTTGTAATTAAGGCGGAAACGGCATGGCATTTCTCCGAAGATGGTGTTGATCTCGTGGTAATTGTTTAATTAATGTCTTTTTCTTTATATAATCTTTCAGTTTTCTTTCGAGCTGTAGCTATTATTCTGAATTTAGGATCAATCGAAAATTCACAAAGGTTACATTCGAAAGACCAAGGTTTGAACTTAGGAGGGAACATTTTTTGATGAATAAGAATAGGAAATAGTCTGGGATATGAAGGGGGGAAAACAACCTTTGAGAAAAAAATGACGATGAATTTGAAATTACCAGGTTTAAACCATAGGTTTTCACGAAATAAGTTGGCTTTATCCTTTGGGGGCAAGGGATGCTGTAACATCTTTGGCCAACCATACCAGATATTGTCTGCTTTATTCGGACCTGAACTATCGGAGATAAAACTCGTCTTGTAAAGGAGGTATCCAATCTCTTATAAGTTCATTCCCTCCCCAACCGATGAGGGATATCACAATCAATACTGGTTTGGTTTTGAGTTTTGGGTACGGATGGCAACAGGCGGGGATCAAATGTGAGGAGACCCCGTAGAAACCTACACCATTGTTGTAATGCCGAAACTAACTTCATAAAGTTATGTCTCACTCTAACGCAAAAATGGACATCAATGACAGGTTCCGACCCCATCCCTTAATCCAACTCAGGTATAAGATGCCCAAATATTGTTGAATCGTCTGGTTTTTGGGGTGGGATTCGGTCGTATGGTTGTCCTGATCACCGGTGTGAATAGTCCCTAATCTGAATCTCTGTTGAAATGGCTTGCTCTTTATGCTAAATGAGAGAAACCTAAGTCAATTTGATGACCCATTTAAGGTTATTCAACTGTTGGAGTCCCACATCGGCTAGACTCTCTCCTCTATATATGTTGGAACCTCCCTTCTCTCCTCAAGGGCTCTTTCGGAGAGTAATCTAATGGGGTTTCACATATTCTCATATGGTATCAGAGTCAAGATCTACCACTCTAGGGTAATATGTACTTGTCTAGCCCCCTTTTAACACTCCAGGACTATGCTTGGACCAATTCTCCTCTATTTATGTTGCTCTTTTGGAGAGTAATCTAATGAGGTTTCACATATTCTCACATTAACCAAATGACCCAACTCTTGTTTGCTATCTACAGTTGCCTTGTCGTCTAATGTTTTTGTGTTTGATGTTTTATGTTTATCAGATAAAAGGCCCATCCAAAGAGGTTGTATATGCTGTACATGACAAAACTAGCGAAAAGCACGAGTTTCATGCTCAAAAGAAAGGTCTATACCACTTTTGCTTCACAAACAAGTCCCCGTATCACGAGACCATAGACTTCGATATTCAAGTTGGTCATTTTGCATCTTATGATCAACACGCAAAGGATGGTACGAACTCTACTTTGCTGCACCAATTCGATTGGTTATTTTTCCTTTTCGCTCACACTTTTGTACAAACTGAGGATCTTTACAGAAACAACCTATCTACCCTTTGGGGTAGACATCTCCCCCCATGACCCTGATTTCGAGTGGGATATACTGGGTTCGTTTGGTTTGGTTTCACTGATGTTCTTTTTGATCTTGTGGGTCCCGTTTTACGAAATATTGATCTGGTTTATGCAGAGCATTTCAAGCCATTGTTTGATCAAATAGCAAAACTGGAGGAAGCTCTTTATAACATTCAGTTTGAGCAGCACTGGTTACAGGCTGAAAATGATCGCCAGGCAGTCGGTACTATATTCTTCACCGAGTGTTGAACAAACAGAACCTGTTAAATCGTCTTAAATGAATTTTCAACCGGGAGCATGATCTTTAAAGACGTTTCAACTCTATAACCTTCAAATAACCGGCCTCTAGCGTAACCCCACAAAGAGATATTTAGGTATATAACCTTAAATGAGATTTTAATTAAATCCATGACTTTACGATGAGTATGAAGCCATTTTTTCTTTTAATAGGTCAAGAGGTCCTGATTTAATTAAAATCTCATTTAAGGTATATCTAAATTACCAGTAAAACACTATGCACCTGTAAAATCTTAAAAAATAAGTAGAAAGTTAGTTTGTAATTAAAAATGACATCCATTTAGGCAAAAAGTTGACCGGCCCCACACGAAATCCGCCTCCAAGGACACCAATGTGAGGAGGCATTTTTTGGTTCGCTCGGCGGCCGAGGCTAGCGGGGGCCTAGGGTCGAACCCAGATCTTGCTTGTTTGCCAACTGAGCTACACGCCAAAGGTTCATATAAGTAAATAGCCCTTTAAGGGATATATTTTGAATTTTGAGGACAATATCTGATGGTGGTACATCTTTTTTTTCATTTGGAGTGCAGTAAACGAGAAAATGGGTAGAAGAGCAGTTCACAAGGCGCTGATTGAATCAGCAGCACTGATCGGTGCTAGCGTTCTCCAGGTTTATCTTCTGCAACGCCTTTTTGAGCGAAAGCTCAGGACATCGAGAGTTTAAAACGTGTTTAATACGGTATCCGATATTGATTATTGGTGACATTCGGTAAGTCGCAATGTCACTAATACTTTGTCTTTATGTAGACAGAATGTATCTTGGTCGATGGCCTTTTCGGACATTTTTTTGTATCATAGCGATTAACATTCGTGCTTCATTGCCCATTAATTAATTTGATTTTGTACAATGAAATAGAAAATTAATCACTGTACTTTGTTGTTTTTCTGTTTAAATAGAAAATTTCACCTAGTTTTAAAAACAATGCTTAATAGTTGATGTCTTATGTTTGCCGTGACATTAAAAATGGGATTGGGTGACACTTTGTTTGGTTGATTGATTTCTTTTAAGTTATGGATAAAGTTGTATATGTGAATTAATATGTTTGTATAGATTGGAAAGACTTTTGTTTAGGAGAGTTTTTTCATAGATGGAAGGAGCGTGTTTTTTCTAAATTCGGATGGGTAGGTTTTAGGAAAAAAAATGGCTTTAGAAACTTACTGAATAAACCATTTTCTATATCATTAAGTTGACCGAATAAGCTGCGAGTATAAACCTTACCAAACAGTAATATATAACTGACTGAATAAGTTGTGAGTTCAGTTAAATAGCAAAAGAGGGAGATATGGGGAAAAATCTCATGGCAGATGGATAGTAACAAAATCCTAAGGATCTAAAAATACTAAATACATTAAATTTCTGCTGCTTATTGATGGGAATAACCACAATTCCAAACTACAAATCAAGGAAAAGACAACAATTGGTCACACTTGGTGTTGAGACTTACCTCAAAACCAAGAGACAGAAGAATTAAACAAGTTCTACGACAAACGCCGACGCACCTCCACCTCCATTGCACACACCTGCTGCTCCRTATTTGCCGCCTTTCTGCTTCAAAACCTGCATCATCGTCATCATATACACCTTCAATTACCTCACCACACAATCATTGATTAAACCAATAATACAACACGTACGTACCCCCAAAAGAGTGACCAAGATACGGGCACCACTGCAACCTAGAGGATGTCCCAACGACACACCACCACCATGTACATTCAGCTTTGCCTGGAGGAAAAGGGTAGACACAAAAGATTATTAAACAACTGTAACATATAAAACCAAACAGACACTGTATATCCCACCCGAAGGTAGGGTCCTTGCGGACAGGGGGAAGATGTATGCAGACTTTACCTCCACCAGATATGCAATTCATGATTTGCATGGGATTTGTGTATAAGCACAAACACATACATACAGGGAGAGGGAGAGAGAGAGAGAGGAGGTTTAGAGTGAAGAACTTACTGAATCCAAACCAAGCAGTTTCTGGTTTGCAAGAGCAACAACCTGCATTAGCCACATCAAAGTATTAGATTTGCAATAATCGACATGCAATTTGGGTTTTGCCAAATTAACAAGGGATCGATGCTTACAGCAAATGCCTCATTGATTTCATAGAAATCTATTTGAGAAGCGTCCAATCCAGCTCTTGAAATAGCCTTCGGGATAGCAAGGGCTGGGGTGGTGGTAAATAACTCAGGTGCCTGCAAACCAAGGTACATCAATCTCATAAGTTGCAAGTGTTGAACCAAAACAAACCAAACTAAACTAAACCAAACCAGTATATCCCACTGGTCACTCGGAAGTAAGGTGGATGTAAGCAGACTCTACCCAAAAGAGTTGAGTGGTGGTTTGTTGTAAAAAAAAACCCCGGCTCGTGCAAGAGTGTGAACAAAAAGGTAAGAGGAACAAAGACTAGCAAATTGTAGCTTCTACCGAATTTAGAAATTGGTGAAATCCTTATGATTTCTTGCACAATAAGCACATGGATTTTGCACTTCATTTCATTTTGCAAGTATCACCTAATTACCTGTTCAGCATCAGCGTATCCGGAAACCTTTGCAATCACATGCAATCCAAGCTCAAGTGCCTTCTCCCCACTAACCAAGACAAGTGCAGCAGCACCATCACTGCGGAAATAAATAAGTTAATTGGTGGCAGAAATCCGAGAGTTATTCATTTGAATTTGAAAAAGATATGCAGAATATGATTTGCCTTTTCACTAGAAAATTGCTTAATAATCGGAGTCGATGAAAAAACTAGAGAGCATTTATAGTGTATTCAGGGCCATCCATTTTATTCTGATGATACTGGACGTTCATGTTCCCTTTCTAGCAAGACAGCAAACATAAATTTTAGTCATCAGGCTAGATGGTAGGCTATTAAATAAATTCAATGATTGTTAAATATCCACCCAGGCCCGGCCCTGGCAACGTGCAGCCCGTGCGACGGCCAACCGCACAAGGCATCAAATCCCAGGGCACATCAAATTTTCATCTATTATTACTTTTGGGTTTAATAATTTGGGAATTGGACAACGGGATTTTAACTATGTCCTTCCCCATTTTGTATTTTTATTATAATCAATAATAAGCATGGAGATGAGTCCCCTAGCTTGACTAGGTTCCAAACCCTTTAAAAAATCGTACATTTCATCGTTTCATTTGCTTAAAAAATAGGCATAGGGGAATTTTTTAGCATTTTCGCATAGGGCATCAATAGGACCGACCCTGTATCCACCTAGACAGAAAAAGTGAGCAAAATGGTTCATATTCAAAGGATTGAGGGGAAATTGCTTACTTTATACCAGAGGAATTGCCGGCAGTAACACTGCCGCCATTCTCCTTGAAAGCTGGACGCAGCTTCCTCAATTTTGCAGCATCAAACTAGAAAAGTTGAAAGAGTTGATGAGGAATAGGATTACAAAGCAACTAACAAACTCAATAGAGAATGCGAGGATAAGAGGCAGATTCACATCTTCTCAACTTCAAACTGATGCCATGATAAGAGGCAGGAGTTTACAAATTCAACTTAACGTCAATAGATTTCCAGATCTTGTTGGCTTAATTAGACTCTGGTGCTGTTATGTGTGTGTGTGTGTATATATATATATATATGTGTGTGTGTGTGTGTGTGTGTGTGTGTGTAGAGGAAGGATCATGCAAGAAGTTAAACATTTTGCAAGAAGGCGAGAAGTTTCAATATCATATATGATTACACTCCTTTGGGTGTGTTTAATCATATATGAGTAAGCATCTATGGGTTGTCAATGCACCATGTGTTTAATCATATATGATTAAGCTTGTGTATCATGCATGTAATCATCTAAGATATTGAAACTTCTCGCCTTCTTGCAAAATGTTTAGCTTCTCGTGTGAAATTGCCCCTATATAGGTATGTATATAAACACACACACCCGTTAATTTGTTAATCTGTAGAATGATATTTGGAATTCAAAATTTTTAGAAAGTAAAAATCCACAACTATCTTTTAAAACAAGAATTTTTCTAGAAAACTAAAGTGGCAACATCTTTTTATTCAAACAAAACCACAAGTGAAGCTTCTTTGTTATTTACTCATACGAACTACAAGTCAATATCTCTAAACCTTTGTTGAGTTTCAATGAAAACTGATCTTCAATTCCTAAAGGCAGATCACGTATTTAGCATATATGGCATCATTATAACAGGTCACCTTTGCCAAATCATCATCTTTGTCAACAATTGTTGATGGTCTTCCTCTTGGGCCAGGAACTTCAACCTGTAAAATTCCAGACAATGGTCAATTACGGTGTTGGCATTAAAGAGTAATAGTTTTACCATCTAGTAGAACTAGTAATCTTACAGGAGCAATTTCCCATGCAAAGGCACCACTATCTCGGGCAGCGAGACCACGCTCAAAGCTTTGAATGGCATAGTCATCCTACACATATTATTCAGATATGACATACTGTAATTCATAAAATCCATGTACGCTTTTCCATTTCCTTTTCATAAACATATTATTCAGATATGATATTCTGTAATTCATAAAATCCATGTATGCATTCCATTTCCTTTTCATACTATAAATCAAGATAAGTGTTCTACTGTAGATCAAAGGATAGCACTCTGTTTCTTATTTAAATGAACAGGTGATTAACCAACAAAAAGATAATGCATCCAAGTGCTGTAAGCCAGTAGCATAGTTTCAATAGACATGGAATTGGCAGACCAATTGTCTCTTCACCAAAGGTTTCACCAACTTATGTAGAAAAACATTAGAAGTACAGCAGAAAGTCATGCAATTGAAGTGCACGAAATGAGTCATAAATAGAGAATTATGTTTCTATACAGGTTTACTCATTACTATTTGCTATTTATTATTGTTGATAAAACAACTGAACAAGTTTGGTTGCTTCCCCAAGCAAACTATAAAAAATGGAAGAATGGAAGAAAAGGATACATTCAGGGAAAATCAAATTTTGATCAGAAGCAAATGAGATGCTGAATGGAGCAAATACATTTCAAATACCTGTTGTTCTCTTGTTATTCCATGTGTATCTGCACATATTTCAGCACAGTTGCCCATCTTAAAATCATTGAAAACATCCCACAACCCGTCTTTCAGAATCCCATCAACAAGAGTATCATGTCCAAACTTGGATCCCTTCCTGCAGTTAGAAACAGTTCAAGGAGGTTTTATGAGCACTTACAATTCTCAACTAACGGTAATCCAGTTTTTGGGTGCAAAAGGACATGGCTTCTTAGCAAAAGAAATGAATAAAGCCCATAGTAACGCCTAAAAGAGAAATGCACAGAAAAGCAGCGCATAGAAAATAATCTATGGGGTTGGACCAGTTGGCATGCATTCTTATTCCTCTAAGGTTTGCACTTTGGAGCAAATACACCAGAACAGGGAAATAGAAACCAATGACAGAGAAATTTCATGTAATCACCCTATTTGATTTTGAAGTTTGGACAATGTATGAAGAATGGTTAGAAGCATAAGAAATCGATGCTATGTAGGTCTCTAGCTGTACCCTGCAAATAGTGGATCTGCCACCAGAAGACTACGGCAAACAAGTTATGGCATCAATATCATTGAAGGATATATGTGTAGAAGTCAAACCACCTAACTGGAATACATGATATTTTAGTATACAATTCAAAAACCACCTAATTGAACTACACGATATGGACATCTAACAGAAACATCCTTATGAAACGAATAGTGGACGCCTAAGTTAGAGAAGCAGTAATATCATCAAGATAAAAATTAATCTTGTCTTACTTTATCAATCTGTAACCTGGAACTCCATTTGATATCAATTCCTTTTGGTAGTGTATGGACTACCCTGTGTTCACAAAAAGAGCATTCTAACACACTTCCATATTATCACTTCCTTCAAGAAAGTGATCTTAGAAAAGACATGTTTCAAATTATCAGAAACCGTGAATGACTTGCACTTATCTGTTAACCTAACCACATGGCTTCTTAATAATTTAAACTAATAAGTATTGTTAGACACTGCCTAATTTATTTACAATTGAAAAATCCTCTTGTTGAAGCATTAAATAAATAACCTCACACTTCAAAAGCTCAATTGAATTTCTCCTAAGAAGATGACGAGAATAATTGACCTTGCTTCTGCAATATATTTTGGGACATTAGACATGCTTTCCATACCACCAGCCACAACTATATCATTTTGACCCAATTGGATACTCTGTGCTGCCAACATGGTTGCTGCAATACCAAGAAAATATGTTACACTCGCCATAGAGTTCTCCATTATTTTATCATAAAAAAATATGCATGCAATTTTCAGAAATGAGTAAAGAAAGTTGGTGCACCTTTCATCCCTGATGCGCAAACTTTGTTTACAGATGTAGATACCACTGTATTAGGGATTCCTGCACCTAATGCTGCTTGTCTGGCAGGACCCTGCCCCAAATTGGCACCAAGAACATTTCCAAAATAAACTTCTTCTACAAGCGATGGATCAACATTTGCCCTTTTCAGAGCACCTAAAGTTTTACATAAACCGAATTGGGGAATAATTTAATGTCAATCAAACAATTACGTAGGAAATGCTGAGCAACAGGAAAGCTAACCCTGCTCCAGATTCTGAAAAAGGAAAGTGAACTTACATTCAATTGCTATGGACCCAAGTTTGGTGGCCGGTAAAGTTGAAAGAGAACCAAGAAACCCACCAAGTGGTGTGCGCGCAACACCAACAATACATACATCTGTTCATGCAACGCCATGAAAGGTGTAAGTTCAGAGAAACCATAAGACTGCTTGATCGTTTAATGGTAAAGCTACCCCTTTTTGAAGTACAAAGAAATGACAAAGGCTACTACTTTCGCAATAAAAAATAGGTAACTCACTAACTCGGTATGTTTTTTGTTACTAGTTATCACAAATCTTATTTAGTTGACAATTGTTATAAACTTCGTTACACTATTAGTTTTTTCTCAATCAGCAACTTTTTTTTTTTTTTTTTAAGGATATAGAACACAGATTCTCCAAAATTATACTGTAGCTTTTCCCAAACACATGGTTTGCTGATATTAAGTGTTAGATATGCATAAGACTTGATCCAAATTTTACGTCTTTGTATGATAACTATGAAATTTCTAATAAAAACCTTCATTTCTGAGAGGAAGTTGAAAATTTGTATTGCAAAATTCCAACAGATTATTTTAGCTTGAAAACAAACAAAAGGGAAAACATGATTGTCCAAGTCAGTACATAGCTTATTCGTACTGGGAAACGTATCACCTCAAGGATTAATCAACCAATATACTTTGAGTATCCCGATTATAACAAAAACATACATGCAAGAACATAAATTACCTCTAGGCTTGATCTTATCAGAACCATCCACTGCTGCAGCTGGAGCCATCTCGATATGTAATCAGATATCTGTTTTTCATTTACGTATAACATAAGTCAAATAAGGCATATTCTCAGCCGCCAACGGATAAATCCCATATTATTAACCGTCAAATTGACGAATCCATTTTCAAACTTCGATGGACTGTTTCGTAAGCATCACTAGAATCACACAGCACAAAAACTATGATCTCTAAAGATGAAATGAGTACGATTCAAAAATCAAACAACTCAACTAGTAGAGCTAGCTACTAGATCGAACCGAACAAAATCATAAATAATCCCACACTAGATCCATATCAATTACAAATGTTTTCAAACAACAAAATACATAGACCATAACATATTTGGCATGAATCCAAGTGTAAGATAAGAAATCGATGAAACCGTACGAAAGTAGCTTCGGAATCGGAATCGGAATCGGAATCGAAATCAGAGTCGGAATCGCAATGTAGGGCAACAAATAGTGTTGTTGAGTGAGTGAGGGATAGACACTGGTTCGGAGAAATCGGAGTGAAGAAGTGGTTATTTATATGCAGGGATAGATGGTGTTGAAGACAGGTAGGTGGGGCAGGCGCCAGATGATAGTTTACTGTTCGTTCAATTACCCCACCTTATTGACTTCTTATTAATTTTCTTGATCGGAGGAGGGGCCGCCCCCTCTTTATTTAAAAAAAAAAAACATGTGATATTTAACGGAGAAATTATCCATATTTACCTGTAAAATTAATTGTTGGTAAACGTCTTAAATCTGATAAATATTTGTTGGATAAAAGTTTTTTCTTTCACTTATCAAATAAGACTTTTCACCTCTTGTTATGTTTCTTACTGGATATCAATGATTAGAAGTTAAGAGGTTGTTTACTAAACTCTTACCGGGTAAACACTTATGAGCAAGAGTCACCATTCACCACCTTCACGTATCTTATTAAATAGCATTATCGATCACCAAATATATTGTTGGTAAGCGTCTTTTACTAGATAAGCGTTTATTGGATAAGAGTTTTCTTTTATTGTATTTATGGAATAAAATTATCAATTTTTACTATGTCATTTATCAGATAAGATTCTTGATACTTGTTGGATTCGTTTATAAAATATGTGATACAGAATAAGTATTTATCTGGTAAATCTTTGGGTGGAAAGTACAATTGTGAAAAAGTTGGTGTGTGCAATTTAAATGTGGTTGTGATGATAAATCAATTTACGAAAAAAAAACGTGAAATGTTTTATTCGTTTTTTGCATTTATTTTATTGTTTATTTTGTGGTCCCAATTTCAATTTTACAAAAAAGATCGAATTTTTACCACTAATTTGAAAATATAAATATGACGAATTTCATTAAAATGTGTTTCTATTATTATTTTGAAAAACTTGTTTCTAAAAATTATAAATGTTTTGGACATAATTAAGGAAATATACTACAAACTTTGTAAATAAAAAATAGAATAAAAATCTACACTACTTTATAAATCAGATTTATTAAAAGTTTTAAAAACAATTTTTAATAAACAAAGTATTATAGATTTATGCACAAAGTTTTAAAAACAACTCGTAATGCATTAAGTATTATTACTTTATGCATTCAGTCTTAACTCTTAATCTACAATTAAAATAACATATAGTACAAGTTACCAATGCACATTATTACCTTTTCTTTTCATGTTCCCAAAATACTTTTGACACATTTCGTTCATGTCTTCACCTTTTCATACCTCTATGTTTTCTCTTCATCTTCCAAGGTGAGATTCAAACTGATATTCACTATAAGTTATTAAAAGTTATCTCATTCATCTCTCATTCAATTGCTCCAGAACTCTCGGTCTCGCTTTTGATCTCTTGATTCTTTGTTCTTGATGTAAATTGAACACATTTGTGGAGTCGTTTAAATATGTTGGATTTTAATATATTGGATTTTAAATTGTCATACAATTTTTTTTCGTCGATAGACTATAATTGGACCATAACTATTATTTATTCAAATTGTGTTGATATGTAAATACCAAATGTAACTTATATCATCGTTAAATCTTCTCTAATAAAACCAATGAAACTTCAAAATCATTAAAATTTGCGGCTCCCGCCACGTTACACAGGTACACAACTAGTTATTACTGAAAAATATATTAAACTTTCTTATTTAAAATATGTTGTTGTAAACATCAATATAAAGTTTTTCAAAATAAATAAGAAGTATGTTTCATTTTTATATAATTTTCTCTACTGAATAAGAAACAAATACGTAAAATATAAATGTTACTAAATTAACTGGTACTAAAAAATAAATGAAAAATAAAATAACAATATCGTAAATGAAATAGGAGGTCATAAAATTTAACAACATTTTGTATGAATTCAATTTAAAGTTATGATGGAAGTTATTGATAACTCGTAAATTTACTATTATTAGTTGTGTATTCGTGTAATGCGTCGGGAGCGGTAAATTTTAACGATTTAGAAGTTTCACTGGTTTTATTAAAGAAGATTTAACGATGATATAAGTTACATTTGGTCTTTACATGTTAATACAATTTGAATAAATAAGAGTTATGGTTCCAATTACAATCTATCGATGGAAAAAATTGTATGGCAGTTTAAAATCTAATATATTTAAAATCCAACATATTTAAACGACTTCACAAATGTGTTCGATTTACACCAAGAGCAAAAAATCAAGAGACCGAGAGTTCTAGACCAATTGAATGAGAAATGAATGAGATAACTTTTTATAAACCATGGTGAATATCAGTTTGAATCTCACATTGGGAGATGGGGAGAAGACATAGAGGTATGAGAGGGTGAAAGCATGAGTGAAATGTATCAAAAGTATCTCGATAACATGAAAAGAAAAGGTAATAATATGCATTGGTAATTTGTATTATATGTTATTTTAATTATAGTTTAAGAGATTTTAAAATTGAATGCATAAAATAATAGTACTTAATGCATTACGAGTTATTTTTAAGACTCTTAAAAACCACTTTTTATGCGTAAAGTATTGTTTATTAATGCATATTACTTAAAACTCAAAATTGCAAGTAGATTATGTGTAAGTACAACTTATTAAAGCTCCACATTTGAATTCGTGTAACTAACTGCAGATAAACATAATCAAATACAAGATAAACATCTCATTTTAAATATAAAAAATCTAAAATATAATTAGGATAATTATTGAGTTCTAAAAGAATATTTAATTATTATTTTTATAAAATGT